GCACGATGGCGGACAACAACAAGACGACGAAGAACAGCCAAGACGACGATGGCGAGCGTGGGCGATGTGATAAGCTCGCTCGCAAGCTGGTCAAGGCACTAGTTGAGGTGAAGGGCGTGGAGGGAGCGGAGCAGCGGTTGAGTGAGTTGTTGGCACAAGTTCGAGCCGAGAAGAAGAGTAAACGCAAGCAATCCAAAGAAGAAGAACAGAGCGACCGCAGGAAGGAAAAGAGCAAGAAGAAGAAGAAGGAGAAAAGCAAGAAGCGCGAGGAAGAGGATGCTGGAACGAAGGCCAAGGAAGAGGACAAGCCACAGCCTGACAGTGACAGTGCAATGAGCGAGAAGGCAAACAGCAAGAAGAAATCGAAGAAGGAGGACAAGAAGAAACGCGCGAACTCATCAAAGGAGGAGAAGACAGCGGATGACGGTAGTGCATCTGAAGAGAACACACGAAAGAAGGCCAAGCAAGCACCTGCTGCATCCGGCAACGATGACGCTGGGTACTGGCAGCAAGCCAACCTTGGATCGGATGCCCGCAAGTCCAAATTCCTGCGGCTCATGGGTGCAGGCAAGAAAAAGGACGCCGCAGCCGCCTCCACCAGGAACGTCGACGTCAACAAAGGTGTGTGTGTGTGTGTGCGTGTGCATGCATTTGCACGTGCTGTGCTCTACTGTGTGCACGCGCACTTGCATGTACACTGCCGTGGCGCAGACTGTCGTCCTCGCACTTTTCGTCAACGAGATGTTCGCCTCGCCCCAGATGCACATGCTCACACGCACGCACGCACACGCTTGCACTGCTGTAGGATCGGCGATTAACCAGCAGCTGGAGCAGCAGTTTGAGCGTGCGCGGCAGATGCAGCACAGGCGTGGCGGTGGCCGCACTGGTTTCTCCTCGTAACGCCATCACGAAAGTTCTCATGTGTCGAATTGTGCCTCTGCCTCCCCTCCTCCTCCTTTGTGGTGATGATGATCGTGTCTTTTGACTGCTCTCCTGTTTTGTGGTTGACTTCATAGCTGTAGGTGTTTGTCCCATTCATGTATGGAAGCTTGCATGCGTGAGGGGTTGTGTGAGTGTGTGCAAGCGCACATGTGACGTATTAAAGACACAAGCTCCTCAACCACTTGAATGCACTTCTGTACTGCATTAGACTTGCAGGGAGCACAGTTCAAAACACACACACGGTCAGTTCGATATCTGTACGTGCACCAATGCACAACAACACAGCACGCACATGTACATCAATACAGAAACAAGCACTCTTGCACACACGTAGAGGCTGTAACAAATATGAAGAACGCATTCACGTGTGCACATTCAGCGTTGGAAAGACACGAAAACGAGAGAAGTATTTGCATGCGTGGGCGACTTGACGTAACAGCACACACACACACAAGCACATTCACACACACACACACACACACACACACACACACACACACACACACACACACACACACACACACACACACACACACACGCACGTACACACACATTCAACAACACATACGCGTGCTACTTGCTGCCTGTGGTGATCTTGGTGATGGGGATGGTCTTGGTTGGCTTGGCGGGGGCAAACGTGCCGTAGACATATGTAGAGGCGATGACGAGGAGAGCGCCAAACCCAAAGCGCGACGTCACAACAAAGTCGAGATACAGCGCAGACACAATCGAGGACAGGATGATGGAGATGGACGTGGCAAACCCCTGGAGCGTATCGTGCAGCCGCGTGTGCATGGGTTGTGTGTGTGTGTGTGTGTGTGTGTGTGTGTGTGTGTGTGTGTGTGTGTGTGTGTGGTGTGTGGTGTGTGATGCATATGTGTGTGTGTGTGTGTGTGTGTGTGTGATGTGAGCATGGGTGCAATGGAGGGGAGAGAGTGAGTGAGTGAGTGTGTGTGTGTGTGTGTGTGAGAGACAGAGAGAGAAGAGCACTTGGTGTGTGAGCAGCAGGCTCAACCAACAAAAGCAGCTGGCATGTCACGTCACAGTCTGGTGCACCTTTAGAATGTTGTCGGCGTACTTGACAACAACAGCCACAATCAATCCCCCAAATGCCTGCAAGACCACAAAGTGGTGACGAGCACGGCAAGAGAGCGAAGGTGTGTTTTGTGTGTGTGTGTGTGTGTGTGTGTGTGTGTGTGTGTGTGTGTGTGTGTGTGTGTGTGTATGTATGTGTGTGTGTGTGTCAGAGTGTTTGGCGACACCCGTAGAAGACATGCGTGCGAAGGCAGAAATCACAACAACAGACTGACAGCAGGGTGCCACTTTTCATGAGAATCATACCTGCAACGAGATGGCAATGTATGCCTCCTTGTTGTACCCGTACAGAAAGCCTTGCTTCATCACTGCAAGGGGGGAAAGCAACGACAATAGCACGCGATTAGGCTGGGTACGATGACGACAACCACACACACGCGCGCACACACACACACACACACACACACACACACACACACACACACACACACACACACACACACACACACACACGAACCTCTGTCATAGTGTGAGTAGAGGACGCTGGAGAGGGCGATGATGACACCCATGCCTGCAAGCTGCACGTTGAGCACCCACACGCCAGCCGTCTCACCCTTCAGCACCTTCTCAAAGTACACGCCAGCGAAGCCTGCACACACGCACGCGCAACGGTCAACATGAACACAATGCAGTCGTGTGAAGGTGGCGGTGCTTGTGTCGATGGCATCAAGCTCTCATCTGAGGTCCACACACATGCTCACGGGATCAAAGGCATGCCCGCACATGCACCACACCACACCACATGACATGACGCCACACCACGCAACACCACGCAGCAGCAAGCAGCAGCACGAGTGACGACGAACCGCTGGAGAAGCAGGCTGTGACGACCATGATAAGACCCATAAAGCGCTCGGCAATCGAGTGCTCGTCCTCAGTCTCTGCGGTGGTGATGGTGGTGACAACTGTGATTGCCATGGTTGTGGAAGGCCATCCTCGTGCGGTGCATGCATGCATGCATGCAGACAAACACATGTGCACGTGTGTAGTGCGGGAGCGAGCGGGTACCTGAGTCGGGCATTTGGATGAGCGCAACACCAGCCGTCAGCATCACCTATTGGCGAGCGAAGCAGTCAGGGCACACCGCGCCATGTGAGGTGGTGGTGGTGGTGGTGGTGGTGATGGTAGACATAGAAGCAACGCGCAGTGGCTATTGCGGCTGGTACTACGCACAGACACAGACACTGGGTTGCACACATGAACATATACAACATGCAAACCATGCAAGCACGCACACAAAGCCATGCACACACGCACACACAGCCACACACATGCACACACACACACAGCCACACAGCCATGCACGCACACGCACGCACACTCGCGCGCGTCAAGTCACGTACGAGGGAGATCCACTGCATGAGGGAGAGGCGTTTGCCCAAGAGGACGACAGCGAAGAGGGCGGTGGTGAGCACCTTGAGCTGGTACGTCACCTGGAACGTGGCTGCATCCAGATACGTCACGGCCATGTACTGCAGCGTGTTCTGTTGTTGACAGCAGCACGTGTTCGTGGCGGGTAGCGCCAAATACAGCGCAGCATGCGGTGGTGTGTCATGTGGGAAGTGAGATGCATGCGTGCATGTACGCGCAAGGCAATGGCCACAAGAACCCACAAGAACAAGGGGGTATTGTGTGAGCACCGCCAAGATTACTGAGCATGTCACGATGTCGTCCGCCCCTGCACGACGCTGGTGTGTGCGTGACAAGCATACCTGTAGTGTGTACAGGCCCGCAGGAACCATGATCTTGAGCGTCGTGATGGGCTGCCCGATGATGTCCGTGTGTAGCCTCTGCAAGGGATACGGTGTGCCGCAACAACCCAAGAACGAGCGTGAGCAGGTTGATTAGGGGTGTGCATGTGTGTGTGTGTTCAGTGTGTGTGTGTGTGTGTGTGTGTGTGTGTGTGTGTCTGTGTTCAGTGTGTGTCTGTGTTCAGTGTGTGTGTGTGTCTGTGTTCAGTGTGTCTGTGTTCAGTGTGTGTGTGTGTTCAGTGTGCGTGTGTCTGTGTGTCTGTCTGCGTGTTCAGTGTGTCTGTCTGCGTGTTCAGTGTGTCCATGTGTGTTTGTGTTCATGCACAGCGTAAGGTGCGTTGCAAGCGAGCACAGGATGAGAGGGTGGGCGCGCACCCGAAGCATGCCGATGGGCCCGCCCTCTTGGATGGCGATCAGTAGAAGGGAGCTCAGCAACTTGAACGATTCCGCCAGCACGACCGCTGTTCCTGGAAGATAGAGTGTTTCATTATCGCCTCGCTGTATCCCAAGCGAACAGAAGGGCACAATCACCACACACACAAGAAGGAGGAGGAGGAGGAGGAGGAGGAGGAGGAGGAGGAGGAGGAGGAGGAGGAGGAGGAGGAGGAGGAGGAGTGGAATCAGGAGGCGGCATGATGAGGAGTGGCACAAAGATGGAACACGCTCACGTGCACATGCACAAGCACAACCGTCTATACACATAGGCGCGCACACGCACACACACACACGCACACACACGTACACATACGTACAGACAAACGAGCACACACACACACACACGCATGCATGCATGCATGCATACATGCGACAACTCGTGCACGTACCGCGCGAGAGGCTCTCAGCATGAGATACAATGCAGAGTTCTGCACAACCAGGATGACCAAACTGGCATACTTGATGGGTATGCCACAGATGCTCGCTGTGTAATGTGCATGTGCATGGGTGCCACACAAGAGTGGGTGTGGCAGTGGGGAAAGGTCAACACAAACGGAGCAAGCCACACCGTCGACACACACACAAGCGCACACAAGCAGACGAGGACGACCAAGCACACACACACACGACGACAAACACCCACTGGCAGCACAATTGCGGCTGTTGTTGTTTGTTGTTGTTGATGCTGTTACATTATCGCTTCGATCCTCCCTCCAAACTCCCCAACCTCACACACACAGAACACATGTCCCAAGCACTCCCATCCCGGACCACTTCTTCCTCCTCCAGCCCAACTCATCCAACGTCAAGCACCATCCACCATCCATCCATCCACCATCCATTCAACCACTCAAGACTCACGGTCAGAGGCAGGCATGGCGGCTTGTTCCCTTCTCAGTTCTCTTTGTTTTGCGCCCCAAGTGTGAATGCGCGACTGAATTCAGTCGCAGGACAACTCACCAGTGGTGTGCGCCCAGAACACACATCACCACCACCACTGGCAAGAAGCAAGCAAAGCAAAGCAAAGCAAAGAAGGGGGTTGTTTGTGTTTTGCGACCATCCATCGATCCAGTCAGGAAGGAAGGCAGGGCATACCCGCACCTGCGTCGCACACACACACACACACACACACACACACGAGACGCACGACATACACACACACACACACGACACACGTGTCGCAGCACAAGCACAAGCCGCAGCAGCAGCAGCAGCAAGCAAGCAAGTGCGGACGTCAGGACAACCAGGATGCCCCGTGCCATTGCCATTGACGGCGGACTGGAGGAGTCATCAGGGACAGACTCGTTTCGCAGGCCAAAGCCAGTGGAGGTGCCAGACCTGGAGGCCATCTTCGAGGCAAAACGAGACGCCATCAACTCAGATGAACTCAAGCACTTGCTTCTTCCCCCCAAAGATGAGATCAAGGTCCAGCCGATGCGATGATTGGGGGGGGGGGGAGTGTGTTAGTCGTGGTGGCAATTCTGCGTTGCCGTCGCTTTCGATTGTGCATGCATGTGTGTATGTGTGTGTGTGTGTGTGCGTGTGCCTCTGTGTGTGTCTGTGCTTTTGGTGTTCGTCACAACACAACAACACAAACTACAACAAGGGTTGAATGTGCATGATGTGTGCTCACATCACTTCCCGTTTCTTCCATGCAGGTGCAAGACATTGAGCGACTGTCACGCACGATTGACTCCTCCGTACCAGAGAACACCTACGAACAAACAAACGACCTGTTTGCTCGCAAGGTCGGAGTTACCGTGTCTTTACACCTGTGTGTGTGTGTGTGTGTGACATGTGAACGCGTTGTGGCCTGTTCTCACCAACACGTTCTCTGATCTTGTCTGTTTCGCCGCCGTTTCCATAGTGCATCGAGTTTTACAGTGGAGGCTGGAACATTGTCGAGCGCAAGGATGAAGGAGATCGCGTGCCATCGCCAACGTGGGTGCCTCACAGTGTGCATTTGTGCATGTGTGTTCGTGTGTGCATAAGCGTTTATTGCCTCTTGTGTGCGGCAACCCAGCCCCAACTTGTGTGCACATTCCAACGGAATGTCTCACCCACGCACTTGTCCACCTGTGTGTGTGTGTGTGTGTGTGTGTGTGTGTGTGTGTGTGTGTGTGTGTGTGTGTGTGTGTGTGTGTGTGTGTGTGTTGTCTCCAAATTCAGGCTGGTCCCGCTTGTGTATGAGTCGGACCTCAAACACGCTCACAAATCGTCAGCGGTGCGTTGTGTTTCACATGTCTGTGTGTGTGTGTGCGTGTAATGCTTCTGCCGCTGCTTGAAGGCGCCCTAGCGCGCTTCTTCACTGTCGCACTGTTCTCCTTACATGTGGACACCACCACCACCACCACGTGCTGTCACGATGGGCATTGCAGCAAGATCTGATGCATGAGCTGGCAAACATCAGCTCCAAGGAGATTCTCAACAGCAGTCTGCTGTGCTCCCGCGCAGAGAGCAGAGACACGAGCGATACGCCGGTCAAGGGCCAAAAGAAGGTCAGCACACACATCCATGCACCGTGCAACGCACCTACCGGCATTGCACACCCACACACAAGCTCATGCTCGAGCACACAAACACAAACACACGTGCGCACACAAAAGTGCCGATGTACGCTCATCGCCGCCTCTCTCCACCGCAATCACATCCACACACACACACACACACACACACACACACACACACACACACACACACACACACACACACACACAGGAGCCCGCTGTCAGCCTGAAGGCAAAAGCGAAGAAGCGCGTGGTTGTGTTTCGGTTCAAGACGGAGCGTGGCCCGCCCATTCTCGAGTTTGCAAAGGACGACAAGCGTGCACACAAGGAAGAGCTTGATCTCAGCGCCTCAAACAGCATCGAGGTAGGCACATGGTGGGACAGGGGAGGAGTGTGTGTGTGTATGAATTGTAAGTACGCGTCCACATGTGCGTGTGTGTGTGTTTCGAGTACACCCTCATGTGTGTGCGTTTCTCCCTGTGCGGTGTGATGAACGCATTGTGGTCTGGTGTCATGTCACACTCATACACAATTTCTCATGCTGCTGATTTTGCTTTCACTGTACGCGCGCACTCGCCACTCCTCCCCCCCCCTCCACACCACTCCCCGTTGCAATGCAACCGCAGTATGACGACAACAGCACCGACACGTTTGTCATCAACTTTGACGAGGGCGCGTATGTGTTCCAGTGCGAAGATATGGCCACACGTGAGAAGTGGGTCTCAACCGTTGCCGACAAGGTGAGTAGCACGTCACCAACACAGTGGATGATGATTCACACTGCCCACATGTGGCTGTGGCTGCGCTGACGCTCGAGTTGCTTATCATGCACACCATAGCATGAATGCGTGCGTGCACGCCTGCCGCGTCAAACTCACGCACACACGCACACATCATGTTCATGCACATATGTGCGCACACACACACATGCGCACACACACACACACGTACCCCTGTTCACCTCCATGCAGGTAAACCTGTGGCGACGCGTTGTTCCGCAGGCGAATGGCGGTGCGGATGTGCCCGACTCTCCGCTTGAACCCTCGCCGCAGCGGTTCTCCCTCAAGAACACGTGAGCATGCCGTATATCGTGTGGTGGTGTTCTTTGTTCTTGTTCTTGCTCTTGTTCTTGTTCTTTGTTCTTGTTTTTTGTTCTTGTTCTTGTTCCTGTTGTTCTTGTTCTTGTTCTTGTTCTTGTTCTTTGTTCTTGCTCTTGTTCTTGTTCTTGTTCTTACTCACCCAACCTCAACCCCCAACCAATGCACTGCCACGTGTGGGCACAACAGCCGCGGTCCCAAAGTGGACACAAAGTCCGTGTTTCTCGATTTGTCGCAGTCACGATCGCCGCAGGACCGAAAGTCCCTTCGCTCGCGTCTCGCCCGCCCAGACCTGCTCGCCGTTTACCAAGGTGTGTGTGTGTGTGTCTTATTGGTGTGCATGTGTGTGTCTGCCGCTGTTGGCTTGGCACAACTCAAGCATGCGATCACTTCCACCTGCTCATTTTTCAATCTCTGCCTCCGAACGCATCCATACATGCATACATATTTGCATGTGCTCCGCTCTGTGTATGCCTGTACGGAGCAGTTGACGATGCTGCGCCGCTGAGCAAACCCATCCCGCCGCCGCCGCACATGTCGGAGTACCTTGGACACCGCTTCGTCGTCACCTGCCAGGATCTCACCATGCGCATGAACCTCTCCGCCAACGGCAGGCCCCTCAACGTACACTCCCACATGTCTCTGTGTGCAGCTGTGGGTGTGTGTGGGTGGGTGTGTGCGTGCGCGCGCGTGCGTGCGGCACGTGTGTATGCATGTGTGTGTGTGTGTGTGTGTGTGTGTGTACGTCATGTGTGCTTGCGCGTATGGGCTTGCTGTATTGTCCTCAAACCACATTCTCTCATCTTCACACGGCCCACCACGCCATCACACCACCGCCATCAGCCGGAGCCGTTCTTCTGTTCGCTCGTGCTCTACGACATCAGAGAGAATTGCGTTGTTAGCGAGCGCTTCCACTTTGATCTCAACCAACAGCGACACGTACGTGAACTGTGTGTGTGTGTGTGTGTCTGTCTCTGTGCGTGTGTCTGCGTGTGTCCATGTGTCTGTGTCTGTGTGGGTTCCATTGGTGCTCACAATACTGATTGCCCCACCTTCCTTGCTCTTCAACACTATCCATCCATCACCACCACCACCACCACCACCACCACCACCACCACCATCAGGGCTACTGCGAGGTGGACACGAGCGCCGCGCATCTGGAGACACGGAGCCGGCGGGCCGTGTTCAGCGTGTCGGACCCGCACCCCGAGATCTACCTCGTGCTCTTTGTTGAGAAGACGCTGCAGAAGGACTTCAACGCCGTCATCGAGGCATACATCAGGGTACACGCAAACACATGATGATGCAGTCGTGGCACACGTGTGTGTAGCATGTGTGTGTATCTGTGTGTCTGCGTCTGTGTATGTGTGTATGTGTGTGTGTATCTGTATGTCTGTGTCTGTGACCTCCCCGCCCCTGCCCCTCCAGCTGTCATATACACGAGACTGTGCTTGCCTTTCACCCTGCTTCTCCGCCCTCAATCCACCTGCGAAGCAACTCACGCTTATCATCAACATACCCGAACGCTTCACGTCCCCTCAACTCCCCCCTTCCTTTTTCTCTCCCTCTCCCCCATCCGAATCCCTGCATTGGTGCACCAACAGGGTGCAGACAACCCGAAGGCAGCAGAGCGGCAGAGCAAAGCGGCCGCAGATGCAATGGCGCGTCACGGCGGTCAGCGCATGCCGTTTGCATGGGCAGCGCGACCTGTGTTCCGCTCTGATAAGGAGCTTGACACGCGTGCTGAGTTTTCGCCGCTGTTTCGCCAGGATCTGGAGAAGATGCGCGAGGAAGACATGTTCCGTGTGCTGCATGAGTACCACCGCACCATGGTCAAGACCAGCACGCAGGGGAAACTCAGGTTTACGATGGTTCCCGGGGCGTTCACAGCGTCGGTCGAGCGCTACGCGTCCAACTACCCAACGGTGACCCCCTCCCTGCTGCCAGTGGCGCCGTACCCGGACAAGGAACTCGCACCGCGACGCGAGGTGATGAGCTTCTATCCCCGTGCCCTGCAGCACGCCCACCTCACCTACTACGACTTTCTGTACGTGTACCCGCGCTCCGTCAACTTTGCCGCCAAGCGCGTGAGCAAGAGCAGCAGTGCGCGCAATGTGCTCTGCCGCATCATGCTGCTTGACACGGACAAGTTTGCGCTCGACCCAAATCCATCGGGCGCGCCGCTTGTGTATGGCCGCTCCAACACGCAGCGCTACGTGTCGTACGCAGAGACCACGGTGTCGTACCACACGCGTCAGCCCACCTTCAACGAGGAGGTGAAGATTGCGCTGCCGCCAACGGTGAGCCGCCACCACCACCTCCTCTTCACCTTCTTCCACGTGGCAGTGAAGGAGAAGAAGAAATCCAAGACAATGGTGCGGCTCGGCCACGCCGTCTTGCCGCTCGCCGTTGCGCTCACCACCAACCGCGCCCGCTTCCACATGTGCGTTGCAAGCGCCTCTGCTGGCTATGACGGCCACGATCTACCGCCAAACTATCTTGAGCAGATCAAGATGGAGGGCAAGACGCGCGACACGTATGACAAGGAGTGCGAGCAGGAGCCGCTGCCTGGCCTGCGCTGGCTGGACGACGGCAAGCCCCTGTTTGTCGTGGACACACGCTCGCACTCAACCGTCCGGCACCACGACGACCACTTGCGCAAGTTTTTCAACGCGTGTGCACGCCACGACCGCACCACGCGCTCCGACACGGAGCTGTGCAACGCCATCAAAGGGCTGCACGCCATGCAGGATGCAACGCTGTTTGGGTTTCTTCCCGTCATCTTCAACCAGCTGCTGGAGCTGCTGCCGTCGAGTCCAAGCAACCACGACGACGTGACGGCCAACGTGATCACGTATCTGCTGTATGCGGTGGGACGCATGCCCGTGACAGCCCACGAGCGCAGCCAGCTCGTGCACCAGTATGTTGAGCATGTGTTCAAGACATCTTACGACAGCACATCCATGCGCGCTGTGCACGACGGCCTTGCACATCAGCTGCTGCCCATCTTGAAGGACGGGCAGACACGCGACTCTGTTGTGCTGTATGCGTGGTTCTTTCTCCGTCTCATCAGCAAGAGCATGGCCCAGTTTCTCTTTGAAACGAAAATGCACAAGAAACCCCGCAAGAAGCGCTTTCCTCAGGTTGGCAACGCTTTTTGTGTGTGTGTGCGTTTGTGTGTGCGTGTGTGTGTGTGTGTGTGTGTGTGTGTGTGTGTGTGTGTGTGTGTGTGTGTGTGTGTGTGTGTGTGTGTGTGTGGGTGTGGGTGTGAGTGTGGCTGGGTGCGTGCGGGTGT